TTGATGTTTGTAGTAGTAGATATAATAGTAGCGACAATTTGATGAGGGTGGCCCAACCTTCGATGCCAAATTTAGGTGGATGGAGACGAGGAAGATGTTGCGGCCAATGTGGAAAAGGGATAGAGACCATCCTTGGTGGTCCTTGAGGAGGATTTGGTTTTTGCTCTGGTCCTTGATAGCATAGCTAAATTTAGTGAATGAGATGTCGTAAATGTAGTCAGAAATTAATTTATAAATGGAGAAGAGATTGTGTGATAGATACGGTGAGTGGAGAAGCTTAGGAAGATAGAGCTTACGTTGAGGGATTAGAAGAATGCCTTGACCGGTGTGGACAATAGGAATGAACAAACCATCGCCGATGGCGACCTAGTCCGTTGGGATTGTTGGGGAGTGTGTAGGTGGTCATAATTGGAGGTGAGATGGCTGATGGCATAGGAGTCCAGAATCCAGTCGGCTGAGCTTGGATCTGTTGATGCGATGAGCCCAGTTTTAAGTTTTGGCAGATGGGTATTGAAGTTTGCTCCATATCAACATGTTAAGGTTGTGTGCCCCGATTTGCCGCAAATCTGGCATGAAATACGAGTGCTATTCAAGATTCACGTCCACCACGATTACTATACCCATGATAGTTTTGGGATGTTTTCCCACGGCCGCAGTTGTGAGTACTATTCAAGATTCATCGTCCACCACGGTTACTATACCCACGATAGTTTTGGGATGTTTTCCCACGGCCGCAGTTGTGGGAGATATTTCCTCGTACATATATTGCATGGGCTGTAGCGCTACTTTCCTTGGCGGGTTTGGTCAAAAGGTAGATTTCTTCGCTACATAATAGAGAGCATAGATCATCCAGTTTGATGGGTTCGGAACAAGTGCAACTAGGGATTTGAGATGAAGGTATTGGGACATAGATTGGTCTTTCATGGAAATGTGATGGAGCTTGTTTTGGAGTTGGATGACCCAGGAGCGATTGGTGGATTGGAGCCGGCTTTGGAAAATTTGCCAGATTTCGGTGGTGATTTCTAAGTTTAGGATGTACAGTAAGATGGTAGGGGAAATAGTGGAGGAGATAGCGGGATAAGTATTGATCAATGAGTTTCCAACAAAAATATTAGAGGTTTGTTGGGCAAACTGATCAGCCGTCTAAGAAGCTTGCAAATCCATTTGCCTTAAAAAGCTTGAATATTTGAGTTCTCCAAGTGGGATAGTTGGCTTCTGCAAGCTAAACATGGGCAACAGACTTGACATTAGTTATTAGAAATTTGAGGAAGTTAGGGATAGGTGCTTCAGTCATTGCTGGTAGGGTTGAAGAAGTTTCTTGGTTTGTGTAGGAGGAAGATGCTGACATTGTTGGGGTAGGGAGAGAAGCGAATTTTAAGGAAGAGAAGGGGATTAGGGAGAGGGATTTAGGAGAGCACATGATGTCTCTGATACCATGAAAGCTTTATTGCTTCATTGAGCAGGAGCCGACAAACTCCATATAGGGAAGAAAGGGAAAAATAGTGAGGCAGCATAGTTTAATTCAGATGAAAAATAGAAAGGTAAAAATTAAATTGTATGTTTTGTTGCTTGATATAAGTAAACACAATGAGAAAAATGGAATGTTTCAAGAAAGGTATAAGCCAAATGGTTATATATTACAGAGGGTAGTGGAAAATGCTATAAGTCTGTTATTGAGAGCTACATGGAAAGATTTTATAAGGCTCAAAAGTGATAATAAGTCAGCCATCAATATTACACAAATTTATGTTACATGAACATACCAAAAACATTGAAGTTGACAATTCTTTATAAAAGAAAATTTTGGCACAGATCTACTCCATACAACATTCATAAAAATGGTGAATTTGTTGAGATTCTCACCAAAGAATTATCAAGGCTTGTCTTCCAGAAATTATTAAGCAAATGTGAAATAGATGACATCTCATTCTCTTGAGGGAGAGTATGAAATGCCTACATAATTTCTATCAACTGAGAACTTCACTCACTAAGACTTTCACTCTTTTTTCTGTCTCACTAATTCATGTGATCCTCACTGGTTACTCATTAATATGTGGATTCACTAAAGTTGAAAAATTATCCATATTATATATTCTTATTAGAAGCCCTCCAAAGAATGTATAAATACTACACAATATTGGAATAAAATGCTCAATTTTTTTGTCATTAACTTCTTGATATAAATAATAATAACCATACACAATAATTGATGCACACATGAATAGCATTCATTTTAATGAAGAGAAGTGTATATTCCCAAGAAAGAAAAGATCACGTAATGTTTAGAGGAAAATTAAAAAGGCTTTCTATCTTTCTAGTTGATTTTGTTTACTAATATGTGGTCTACTACGGCAATGCAAGAAATTAGTTTGTTTCAAAGAGTCTACAACCATAGCTTTACTAATTACAATCGCATCAAGAAAAAAAACCCCGGCACATTAAAATAATAAAAAAAATGATTTAAAGCAGATACTGGCTTGCCACATATGCATAAATAAAGAAAAATTGAGCCAAAAGTATGCAATTACTACTGTTTGCTTGTGATTGGATATCCTCTCTCCATAAAGTCTTACAATTAATCAATTTGCACATCTAGAATTAGCCATTTAAAAACTAATTGGTCTAGCTGTTATAATCATAATCATCACCATTAGCCATATCCCAGCAATTTGGGATCGTCTTTATGAATCTTCAAATTTGGTTTGTTCATGTTGGGAGCTAAGAGATATTAAAAGTATTATTTGCAAATTATTGTGAATCTATCCATGCTATCTAATATCTTTCCCCTTTTCCAGTTAATCCTCAACATCACTTCTATCTACCGTCTAATGGAAGCATTGTCTATCATTTGTTATATATTTTTGAACCTTTCATCCTAATTCTAATTACTTTATCCTTAATATATTTCACTCTAATAATTCTAGGGCTATCAAAACGGCTCGTTGTTCACGAACAGCTCGTGTTTGACTCGTTTTGGCTCGAAATACTACTCATCAAGTTTATATATATATATTAAGTAGTATTTTAAAAAAATCGTGATTAGGGTTGTTAAAATGACTCTTTGTTCGTGAACAGTTCATGATCAGCTCGCTAAGCAACTAGGCCAAACATGAACATACTTTTTGAGCTTGAAATATAAACGGCTGAACTCAAGCTGAGCATGGGCTTGCTCGTGTTTGGCTCGTTTACACCCCTAAATAATTCCTATAATATAATTGTTCTTTAATATATACTTCAAAGTTTGTGAAAGTTCTATTTTACCTTTCCTACTTTTTTCTTGTTCAACTTAGTTTCCAATAACTTGTTACTACCTAACACTCAAGTTCTAACAGTATTTTCAATCTAAATGCACTTTCATATAAAATTTAAGTATCCATGATATTCTCTTATCATGTTACTAATGATAGCTTTCTCTAATTTAACCACTCAGCTTAACTCTGGAATTTATATCATAATAAGCTCTTATTTTATTACATAATAAACCTATGACACCAAATATTATTTTATCTTCTAATAATATTGATCGATGGCAATAGATATCACATCTATTAAATTACATATCATATGCTCACTCTATGAGCTATCAATTCCAAGCCCATTTTTAAATATTTCCATCACTCTAACTTCTCACTTATTTCAACAAATGTCTCACCGATTAGAACTAATGCCACTAACAAAAAAAGGCATATATTAAAGCGAAGTGATTATGGTTTTTTTTTTCTTTTTTTGGTTGGGGTAAGCTAGTTTTGCTTGCAATTTTAAATATTAGGGCAATAATGTCAAGTGTCAAGTCTTTAAGAATCACATTAATAATTTGTGTCAAACCTAAATGATGAAAATGATGCATGCACATCATTTTCAACCGAAATGACAAAATACCTGTGACATAATTTAAAAATTTGGAGTCTAATTAATGAGTAGTTTTTTTAAAAAATATAATTGACTACAAGGCTACAAAAGATTTATAATCAATTAAATGTATTAATTAATAAAGTAGTATAAAAATTATTAAATTAGATTCAAATGATATTTTAATATAAACAATAATTTTTAAATCATGCTCAAACCCTGAACATCTTATGACTATGCAATTAGGGTTGTTAAAATGACTCTTTGTTCATAAACAACTGGTGTTCAAATTCATGATCAGCTCGCTAAGCAAATAGGCCAAACATGAACATACTTTTTGAGCTTGAAATATAAACGGCTGAACTCAAGCTGAGCATGGGCTTGCTCGTGTTTGGCTCGTTTACACCCCTAAATAATTCCTATAATATAATTGTTCTTTAATATATACTTCAAAGTTTGTGAAAGTTCTATTTTACCTTTCCTACTTTTTTCTTGTTCAACTTAGTTTCCAATAACTTGTTACTACCTAACACTCAAGTTCTAACAGTATTTTCAATCTAAATGCACTTTCATATAAAATTTAAGTATCCATGATATTCTCTTATCATGTTACTAATGATAGCTTTCTCTAATTTAACCACTCAGCTTAACTCTGGAATTTATATCATAATAAGCTCTTATTTTATTACATAATAAACCTATGACACCAAATATTATTTTATCTTCTAATAATATTGATCGATGGCAATAGATATCACATCTATTAAATTACATATCATATACTCAATCTATGAGCTATCAATTCCAAGCCCATTTTTAAATATTTCCATCACTCTAACTTCTCACTTATTTCAACAAATGTCTCACCGATTAGAACTAATGCCACTAACAAAAAAAAGGCATATATTAAAGCGAACTGATTATGGTTTTTTTTCTTCTTTTTTTGGTTGGGGTAGGCTAGTTTTGCTTGCAATTTTAAATATTAGGGCAATAATGTCAAGTGTCAAGTCTTTAAGAATCACATTAATAATTTGTGTCAAACCTAAATGATGAAAATGATGCATGCACATCATTTTCAACCGAAATGACAAAATACCTGTGACATAATTTAAAAATTTGGAGTCTAATCCTTGAAAGAAAAACATAGTCACCGCAAGGTAACAATGCCCAGAACAGCATAATCCGAAAAACAGGAATTCAGATTGGATTCTGAGCACCAAATGAATGGTCTTTAGTACCTTAACCCAGTATTGCGCTTTAAGAAATGAATCAGGACTTGTTATGTCATACACAACAACTGCAACTGCTGCACCTCGATAGTAAAGCGGAGCCAATGCAGCATACCTGCAAAATGGATTTGCAGAAAATAGCAACTTGATCAAAAAACATTCAGGTCTAAAAAATGCTCAAAATGAATCACCATTATACAAAATAGTTTACGCCAAACACACCAAAAACATGCATAATTACATCACATGAATCAAGATAACATTTATTTTAGTTAACACAGGCCAATATTTATCAACTAAAGTAGCATGCGCATTCACAAACAATAATATGTTATTACAGTAATCAATAAGAATATCACAGAAAATGAAAAAAAGGCGCCCACGAATGTATCATTAAATGACAGCATACCTCTCCTGCCCAGCGGTGTCCCATATTTCAAATTTAACTGTTGTGGAATCTTGTAATGCAATGGTTTGCGATAAGAATGATGCACCAACAGTCACCTGTAACCCATAAGAATTAAGTGCTGCACAAAGCTGAAGTAAAACCTCTAATATGAAACCGGTAAAAACAAGTGGGGATAATACATGGAGAAGCTGGCTGCTTTTTATCCAAAAAAAAAAAAAACACTTAACCGCAACTTATCCTAGATGTCAATATTCGATGTGTTATATCAACTTGAAGATTTTGAATGAATACCTTGGATGTAGGGTCAAATTGTCCTCGAACAAAGCGTAGAACAATGCAGCTTTTACCAACACCAGAATCTCCCAGTAATACCAACTACAAGGCACCCAATTAAACAAATCATAAAAATAAGAAATGTGGCAAGAGGCATAGATAGAACAAATAAACTAGCAAGTGAATGTACTTCAACTAGCAATACTATAATCAGCAAGACGTAAGGAGCGTTGTAATTATCCCCAAACTGTTTGTTGATCATTTAATATAAATGTATATGCAAACTATGGAGCGCCAGTAGACCTGATCCTCAGGAAAGAAAGGAGTACAAACAAAGAACACTCCAAAACACTAACTGCAATATTCCACATTCTCTAACAAAGATCTCCAACGCACCCATGCACAATCTTTCAGCATTCTCCAAAAAGAACTAACTACCAAGTATTCACAATATATTTGAGTATGGAATCAGGCCTCTCAACCCTCCATACAAGGATGTAGCCTTACACAAATACACGTAGAATTTTTTTTTTATATTTTTTAAAAGCTTTATTTTTGTTTCTTTGCTCATCATACTTTGTATTTTGTAATTCCAATTGTTTTTATATAGCTTCATGAAGACTATAAAAATCAATGTATATGCTGAATCAAATAAAAGCATGAACCAATATGCTAATTTAATCAATAGGCTTTCTAGAATTATACCTATATACTGCTTCAAAAGCGATTTATTGGACCATTAGTTGTCCTCGAAATAATGCTATTATTTGAGAATTCTGATATAGGTAGAATTAAATCTCAAGTTAAATTTCGTATAATTAATTACTAATCTCATTCTTCCTCTAATCTGCTCAGTATGATTTCTAATAAGGCTAGACAACTGTGTGGACTAGTACTAGCCTCGATTAATTTAAAGTTTAATATTCTTGTATTTGGTTTCGAAATTCTTTTTTATCTTCAGAAGTATATTTCATGAGATGAACCCTTATAATATTTGAAGGATTAATTGGATCTATAGTAGCAACTGGCTCATCTTGAGTCCAGAATTGTAGAGGATTTTCGAACATGAGTTATTAAATAGAGAAGATGCGAAAGATCAAAGTTTAGTAAGTTTAAAATTTTCAAGAGAAAGTGCATTATATACGCTTAAGTGTAGAATGAATAGATGAGAGAAAGCAATTTTCATGTTTTGGTCAAGAGGATAATCACCACATTGGCTGTGGAAATTGGTGTGGTGGAATGAATCTGAGATGTTTTAATTAGTGGGCATTTGAGTGGATAATTATTGGGGTTGACCAAAGTAATTTCGTTTTTAGATTGAGTAAATGATAAGAAGATTTCAAAGAAATTATTTTCAGGAATTAAATCACATTGTCGGAGCTACACCATAATCTATGTATTTTAATTAGGGCCAATTGAATTACAAAGAATTATAGTACAAAGACCATTAAATGTTTCGACTAATAATTCTTTGGAAAGAATTGGTATATGTTGTGGAATCATAAATTTTTTACATACAGTGATGTCGCTACCTGTATCAAATAAAGCATGTATTGGAATCAGTTCGTATGTAGGGATATATAATTCAACGATAATATAACTATGAAAGCGCATTCCGTGGTAAAGTATAATTATTTATATTGACAGTTTTATGTGTAAATATTATAGTATATTGTTGGAGAAAATAGATTCCTATTAATATATGATTTGAATATTTGTCATCGGTTAAAAATAAATGTTGGAAATCAATTCGTTGATTATTTGTATCCCAAAATCGAGTAAGTATATTAGTTTCATGAGTGTAGGAGTGATTTTGTCCAAGATAATCTTGGTAGATGTACGGAGTATCTTTTAGTATTTGTAACTTTATGGGTACTAGATTTTAATCTATATGTGATCGATAAGATCCAGTATCTAATAAGATATTATATTTTCTTTCTGGAGAGAAATAATAACCCGTTATTAATAATTAATTATTATTGTATTCTCTTATACTTGGAGATGGTTTAAGAAAAATAGATCGACTAGTGCTCGTATCGTGAGATCGTCTTGGTTGTATGGAAAGAGAATTATTATTTTCTATGAAATTAAGTTTTGGATGTTTTTGATTTCCATAATTTTGACCATCATCAAAATAAAGTAGAAGGTTCGATGAGGGTGCTGTTATTTCTAATTCATTAATTTCTTCGGGTTGAATAGTTTGACCTACATGAGAAAAGAGAGGATCTAAGTGAATTGGGTTAGTGTGCAATTTAAACGCAACAGTATTGTGTTGATTATTGTATGTGTGTGTGGTTCAATAAGTAATGATGTAAGCAACACTGTCTTCTCTTAATTTTACTCTATCAAATGTGTTTCTTAGTGTGAGAGAATTATCTAAATGTCGATCATTGATATTAACTGCATAGTTAAGATGTAAATTAAACAATAGAGTTTAATAACATTAACAAAACATTTTTTTTAGAATGTATAATTTTATCATCCTATATCCAGATAGTTATAGGACTATCAATCCCTTTACGAAAGTATGATTTAATTAAAATTTGAATCCCTCCAAAGAATATATGTTTATATTTTTCAGGCTTTTTCATTCGTTCTAAATCTTGTCTTTTTATTTGTTGGTTATACAAAGGTATTCAGGTTCTTTTTGTATCTGTTAAATCAATGAGATGATCACCCTAACAAATATTATAATGTATGTTTCTTTTCCAAATGAAAATAGATATATCAAAACAGTCTTTTGTTCTCAGGGATAATTTTCTTCTTCTTATTTTGTTGTAAGTTTCTTCAGATAATGTAATGTCTTTCATATTCAATAGAATTATCATTAATTATATCTGATTCAGAGTTTTCTTCCATTAATCAGAATATAAGTATTGTTTTATTTCATTATCTAAATAACTTATATTTATTAAGTTTGCTTCAGTATCTGATAATTCATATAGCTCTTCATCACTATCTATATTAGTAAGTTTGAAGATGGGTTCTAAATCCTTTTCATTTATGACTGATACAGATCTTACATGATTTACCTTAGTTCTTTGAGGACGTTTGTTTGCATAGTGTCCTTGTTTACAGATCCAACATTTATTAATTTGTGTTTTTTTAGTATTTGTATTGTTATTATTCTCTTTTTTGAAAATTCTTTATTAGAATTAAAGTGTTTTTTTTATGTATTTTCTTAAAGAATTTTTTTTTTTACTTTTTGCAGAGCAATTACAGCTGTTATGAGAAGAGAAACAACTTCATTGCTGAGCAACCAAATCAGATTTTTCACAACATAACGATTGTTTATATTGTTTGTTTTGTTTGAGTCAAGGTGTTGGCATTCTACAGCTAATTTTTCTAGAGCGTATTATACACGGCTTCCTAGGGTTATATCATTCGGATGTACTTTCACAAATTCTTCTCCATAAAATATTGTATGCTTAAGGTAATTTATAAAAAAAACATATCTAGATGTAACAATCTGTCATTCGATAAGATATCATGAAAGAACTTCTGATAATCACAACTACATTGATTTAAGTAAGAAATATTGCAAATGCATAGAGCTGTTATCTTTTATTTAGTAAGATCTGATTGATATTTCTGTTTTTCTGCTTCGGTAGTATATTTAATTTATATCCTAAGAATTCACTTTTTATAAAGTCACCATAAATACTCGGTTATTTGTCAGGTGTATTCATGATTTTTTCTCCTAAACAAGTATTTCTAATTTCTTGCTTTTGATTATCTTTTAATCTAATAAAGTACTTTTTTTGCAATTCTGGTAAGTGTATTTTTTAGGAAGTCATAGGCGTCTTTTCCTTTTATATTATAATTATATATGGCGAGGTTATTTTCTATTACCCATTTGTCAATTGTTTTATTAATAGTTTTGCAAAAATCAATGTTTATATAAATACCGTGTCCACTTATAGGTTCAGGTATAATATTTTGAATTTTTGTTATTGCTTTATAAGGTCTAAACGTAGGAATATGCTTAATACTCAGGGGTAAGTATCAAAGATAAGAACTAGTATTTTGCTTGTACTAGCTTCATTTGTATTTGAGGTAGTAGGCAGTCCTATAAATCGATCATTAGATGGAGTAAGAGTAACAACAGAGGGGTAATTAACAGTTCAGCATAATTTCTATAGATCCAATTAATCCTTCAATTATTACAAGGGTTCGTCATATGAAATATACTTCTAAAGATAAAAAAAAATTTCAAAACCAAATACAAGAATTATTAAACTTTAAACTAATCGAGGCTAGTAATAGTCTAGCCTTCCTAGTTAGAAATCATGCTGAACAGATTAGAGTAAAAGCGAGATTAGTAATTAATTATATAAAGCTTAATGATAATACTAAATTTGATTGTTATTTCTTACCAAATAAAGAAGTATTAATCAATCATATTAAAACGGTCAAATGGTTCTCTAAATTAGATTATAATTCGGATTCGAGCAACTAAATAGTAGAGAGTTTGCTGCTTTAGTACAGAAGAAGACTATCAATGGAATATTATGCCCTTTGGACTAAAAAATGCCCCACAAATATTTCAAAAAATGATGGATACTATCTTTAGTGAATTATCAAACTTTTGTCTTATAAACGTAAATGTCATCTTAATATTTAGTCAAATTATCACCGAGCACCTAAAACATTTGATTTTGCCCTGTCAAAAAGCTCAGAAATATGGAATAGCATTAAGCAAAAGAAAAGTTGTGTTCTTAACTAACACTATTGAATTTCTAAGACATATTATAGATAAAGGTGCAATTGAAATACAAGAACATGTTTTAACAAAAATTAATCATTTTAAACAAATAAATAATCAAAAAGATTTGCAGTCTTTTAGGATATATCAGTTATGTTGAAGCATTTATTAAAAATCTCACAGAATTAAGAAGTTCATTACAAAAGATATTACGAAAAAATATAGTTTGGATTTGGGATGAAAAAAATCAAAGATTTTACAGCAGACTAAGGATTTATGTAAAAATCTTCTTAAACTACATTTACCAATCCCTGGTGATTATTTAATTATAAAAACAAACAACGCTGAATTAGCATGAGGGGCAATTTTAAAAGTTCAACGTAATAATGTTAAACTT